GGGACTCGAACCCGGGACCCGCACCCCGGAATGGGTCACGGGTTCGAGTCCCGGCGCCGGTCCTTGTCCCACCAGCACAACCCCACCTCCCCGTTCCATCTCCCAAAAAAGGGGAAATTATTCCCTGCATCCCCCCACCTCCCAACACAGAATAGCCTTAAGGAAGGTGCACGGGGCCAAGCCGGAGCCTGCCAACAGAGCATTCACCAATTCACACTTAACCCTCCAGTACTAGGTCACTGGGACAAAGGCTTTTCCCCCCACCCACCCCGAAAAAAAAAGAGTGCCCGCGTCAGGAAAACGGGGCAGAGCACGTCGGAGAGTCGTGAAAGGAAGCACCCGCTACGCCCGACCACAGGGAAACGCCTCCCGCAGAATTCCTCCGGAGGCTGCCAGGACGAGTCTTTCATCCCGACGAGTTTCTCCCAGGAGTGTGGGATCGTCACGCCCAAGCAACGCGAAGCTGCGGGCCAGCAGCAAGCTTTCTGCAGGACAGTTACCGTGCCACAGCTGGCCCTTGTCTATACTTGTCCTTCCCTGGGTCTCAGGCAGCCATGAACTACGAGTTCTGTTTCTTTAGGCTGACCTAGCACACCAGCTTGGTTCATCCAGGCAGTAGTATCGGCTTTAAACAGTCAGTCAGAAACGCAACGCCTTTCCCCATTCCCACTGAACAAACAGGACCATAATTTTTTCCCCCATTTGAATGGTACAATTAAAGGGAAAAAACCCACTGAGGCAATTTTTGTTACAAGTCTGTATTTCTTCCAAAAATAAATATATGAATGCACCTCTCCAAACCCGAGACCAGGAGCCAGCCTGTGCTCGACAGGAGCAGAACCAGTACAAAGACTCTGAGACAGTCTTTGCTCAGCGCGACTGGGCGCTGAAGCTCTCCAGAGCACTGTGTGACGCCCGGACAAATGCCATGTCCTGCCTGTACTTCATGGCAGTGGGTGGCTGGCGCCTGAGCAGCTGGTCACCGCTGTCCTTTGGGTCAGGGTCATCATAGACGGTTGAGATGAGGATGGGAGTGTCCCGCCGGGGCTTCTTCACCCTGCTGAAAGTTGGCAGTTTCTCCCCGTGGTACCTAGAGGGACGCAGGAAATGTTTGGTGAAACATTGCTGAGGCAGCGGGACACCCCTGAGCATCCCAGCTCATTTCCTTCACGTGCTGCAGGGGAGAAGTGGACCGACACAGGGCAATAAGGATTCTTGTCCTGTTCCTGACTGTAAGATTGCTCTAGAACAAGAGTCAGCCCTCACAGTGAAACAAAGCACCGCACAAAGCGTCCAGAAACCCCACAGAGAAGGCAGGAGTGAGGTGCACAGCTACAGCTCATGTCACTTGGGTTTTCCCCACCAGAATACTGTAGCAGAGGTGACTGTCAATCCTCAAGCACAGCTCTCCCTCTGTATTTGTGTGCTGCATGAACCTGCAAACGGTTCCCATCCTACTCTAACCCCACAAGCTCCTCTAAGGAGCACTGGACTGTCAGTAAGAGCGGCGTATCTAGCTCTGGAGCGCTGCAGCAAGGCCCTGCCACCAGCTGCGCAGAGAAAGGCAGATCCCTGGGACAGCCTTACAGTTCTGGCTCACACTCCGCTCCTTTTGCGGCCAGTTAGCTGCTGCGTTAGCCCAGAGAGCCCGAGCACAGGCTGGCAGGGCAGGGTCGGGTACTTACCCCAGCCCCCTCTTGCATCTGGGGTTCTGACCCTCGTTGTCCAGAGCTTCAGCCATTCCAGAGTTGCTGCTGCCCAGCCCCAGCCCCTCTGTCCAGCCCTGCTGTTCCAGCACCTTCCTGCCAAAGCCCTGGGAGAGGGGAAAAAACATCACAGAGTTGCTGGACAAAGCCCATTCTCATCTCCCCAGTACCCTCTGCCCCCTCCCTACACCCAAGGCCTCTCCTCTCCCTAACCCATCCCTGAGCATCGCCACCACAGCCTTTCCTGTCCTGCCCCATCCCCTCCCGAACATGTATCCAGAGCTCACTTTGGTGTATCTCTCGAAGGTGCCGATCTGTTGTCCTGAAACAGACCCATCTTCCAAGCCGTCCCGGAGTCGCTGTTCCAGCCACATCTGGACCGAGTCCCGAGCATCCTTATCACCTCCATCTAGGGAGAAAGAAGCAAGAGT